AAATATTTGCTTTTCTTCTATTAATTTTATACAGAGTTACTCAAAGTGTAATTCTCTAAAAGGATTAGATACTTGGATGCCAAGTCTGCATAGAGAGCTTCATGCTTGTCTCCACCTACAGAGCAGTTGCAGGTGTTAAAGTTGCTGTAAATAGTCCTGGGACCAGCATTATGTATCTGTAGGAGGGTTCAGTCACAACGGGTGAAATCATTAGCCCTTCTTATCAACTAAAGGAGCTGGAGCTGTCCCAAACTGTGTACCTACTCTGAGTATTGCACACTTACCAGCTGACAACCATACAAATACTAAGGATAACAGCAGGGTCCACATGCCAGCAACTGCTTAGGTACACAAGAACTGCAGCTCACTAGTCTTGCAAGGACCAGCATGTAATCTAGTAGTAAAGACAGCACTAGGTGAGATTCATTCTTCTGCCTATGGTTTATGACTCTATTTACCATGTCTCATGTTGTTTTATGAAGGTTTCGGGAAAAGTTTCAAGGCAGACTTATCTGCCGTTTTTCCTCAAGAGTAACTCAGCTCTAGTTAGAATGCAAAATGCCAAGCTAGTTAGCTGTAGCTGAGTATAACAAGTTAACTCCCTCAGCGAGTCAGATGCAAGTAAAAGCTTTGGCAGCAAGTCCTTCTTGCCCACAGCAGGTTCTTCCCTCTGCTCTTTTTTTTGGTTCAGCACCTCTCAGTGGCCTGCTGCATTGCAACAAATTCCCCTCAGACGCCTCTGCCTCTGGGAAAAGCTCTTCTCCCCCAGCCTAGCAGCCTAGGCTCCTCCTGCTCCTGTCGGGCCTCTCCCAGGTCGCGTGTTCCTTGTCAGCTTTGTCGTTGCCTCTCGCTTGCCTTGCTTGACTCCAGAAGCTGCTGCCTGTCACGTGTGACTCTCTGCTCCCTGGGAGTGAGCAGTGCTCCCTCCTTCCAAAACATTGTGGCTGATGGAGGTTGCAGCACCCAAGAGAAAACTAACTAACCTTTCTCCCTGCTGCCCAGTCACAACCCTTCAAAATATTATGCAATACAAAATATATTAGTATATGTTTGTATAGTAAGCTACAAGTAAACAACATGAAACCACTCTGCTATCCTCTGCAGAAGTTACAGAGATCTGAGCTGCGCTGAGTTTAATTTATTCTGCTCTGAAAGTTTAGTAGCAGGATCCAGAGCTTACAGTGAAAAGGGGCAGGAGGCTGCAGGTGGAAGGAGCGGACGAGAAAGAAGACCAAACAGAGGAGCCAGGGGAAAGCAGGAAAGAGATGATGTTGAGAACAGATAGTTCAAGGGGAGCTAAGGACACTACATCACATTTTCGTAAAACAGCAGCAGTGCTCCAGATGTGGGCTAGTCAGCACAGGATAGCCAGCCGCTCACTAGAAACAACAGTGCTGCAGGTCTGAGCCATGCTCTAACAAATGAGTCCTGTTTCAGGGGAGCGCTGCTGACAAGACTGGTCTGCAAAGATACTGAGCCCAGCAGGTCCATGCTGGTGCGCTCTGTTTTATTTGTCTGCCAAGTGGGCCCCACAATATTCATGGACCCAGCTTGCCCCTGACTTATTTAGGAACAGCATCTGACCTGCTGGGAGCCTCCAATTTTTCCACTAAGCATAAGAGCAGGTGAAAAATCAGATCACATAACGTTTCCAAAAACAATTGCAGAGACCAGGAGAAATGAGGTGAAAGTAAAATCAAGAATGTAAACAGAAAATCATCACAGTTATTAAAAACAGATATTAAAAATAGAATTGAAGTGAGAGGGTAACCAGTATGGCTAAGAAAAAGCCTGTGCAAAGACAATAAAGGCAATTAAACAGTTAAATAATGGCTGTAGAGAACCTAAATGAGTTCTATGAACCATTTCCCTATTATTCATGATGGGAGGAGGGTACAAATTCTTCTAGGAATTTTCTTCAGGTAATTAAGGCAGAGCAGTGGCACAGAGTACGGTCCCTGAGGAAGAGGCGTTGGAACAAGTAGAGAGACTTATTAGCAGTCACTCCTCAGGGCTTGATGTTGTTCTTCTGAAAGATGTCAATGAAGTGAAAACAAAGAAAGTAGCTGAACTAGCAGAAGTGCTGCTTAACAGGACAAGGCCTATGACTGAGACCTAGCACGTGGGTATTCTGGTTTGTGTCTTCTTAAGGGAATTTACAGAGCAGTTGTATCACTTCGGAACAAAGGAAAATTTTTAGATAAAACAGTTATTAAAGACAGATTCATAGGATGTATAGAGGCATCCAAGCAAACAGAGAAAAATGATGGAAATACTACCACTGCTGCTAATAACAGTTCCTTTAAATAATGGCATGTAGGATGCCAAGTATTTTGAATAGTCCAGAAAGCAAGGGAAATACTAGAGAATTTATTTATTCATTGAGACTATATTTCTGTCGTCCTCCTGGTAGTGATCTAAGCCTTCCAGAAAAAATAGTGCTTTCCCCTCTTCCCCTTGTGGCTCAGCTCACTAAACAGACATTTGCAGGCAAGAAAAATTTGTGGGTGATCTATTCATGCCATGGAGCAGGAGATTAATGAATGCTTTTTAATTACCTTTGCTGACACAATTACAAATATTAGTATTTTTGAAATTAGCCATCCTTTTAAAAACAGATGCCAGCTAGCTGACAGATATACCCTCCTGCTGCAGTGAAAGGCACATGCTGTCCGTGTGCCCCAGGAAGGTGTCCTCGCAATGTCCCAGGTCAGCTGGCTCCCTGATCTGCCCTACTTTCTCCGCGGGAAGGTCAGCGGTCTGGCAGACCACGTGCAGTTCTCTTTCCTTCCCCACAGGAGGGATTTACAGCCGTCCGGCTAAGTTTCCGTCTTTCTGAGCTTCCTGTCGGAAGAGGAGGAGCCCATGGTTGAACACCAGGGGCTTCAAGTTGCTCCTGCACTAAAATAAATCCAGAGTGGCTTCATGAAATCGAAGGAGTTACAGTGCTCTAAGTGAGGTGAGAATAAAGCCCTAAAACCGAGTTTAGGTTGGCTTCTTCCTAAGCATTTTCAGTGGCTCTTTATTACCATGTTACCCTGGGCAAGCTAATAATCACAGAAACTATATAGAGCCTTAAAATCGGAATGAATTAGTTGAGTTTAACAAAGTTCTTCTTACCTCTCTGTTAAGCCAGGTTTTCTGGGTAAATTAATGTGAAATAATCACAATGGCTTCGAATGTCCTCAACTAAACGCTACGTGCTTGTTTTTACCTCATTTCTACCTCTGGGTTAGCCTTGTAAACAGCCCTTTGCTGTGCTCTGGTATGGTTTGGGGCAGGCAGACACAGCTTGAGTTCTTGATGGCAAATTTCCGTAGCTAGCTGTTTCTGCCTAACTCTTCGTAGGACAAAACCAGTTTACTGTTGAAAATAATTATCTGCGACTCCACTGAGTTAAAACCATCTTTGATGAAATGCGAAGAAACTTTGGATTTCTTATAAACAAGCTAAGCTCCAAAAGGCTATTTGTGCTACCATGTTTTCAGAGTTTCTGCTTATAATGCTTTTTTTTCCTCAGGCTATGTATTTCTACTGAACAATCACGTCCTCCTTGATTTGGCAAGCATTGGATCCCCCCACTCCCACACCCTTAGTTTTGAACAAAGCAAAAATTAACATGGTTTAATTGGCAGAGCAAGAACTACTTATCCAAGCAATTATTAACTGGGGAAATCCTACACATCCAGATTTGCCATTTTTCATAGTATGTGCCTCATTCTGTAACCACACTTCTCCTGCCTGAAACAGGAGGTCCAAAGGGTCTCTCATTTACCACTGATAGTATGCAAGGCATTTCAAAATGATCTATCTCTCCATATGCAGCTGGGACCTTTGACAGTCAGCGGTGCAATTTGTTGCTTCCAGTGGCATTAGCAGACAAGAAATATTTGTAAGCTCCTGACCTAAAACCCTGTCTTCCCCTACACATATTGTTCGTTCTGTGAGTTGTAGATTACCTCTTAATCTCCCATTCTCCCACTAGCTCCAGATCACAACACTGCACTTTGAAGTACTTGCAGGATTGCAGCTAAAGTGGAGTTTAATGGCCACAGTAGCTCTTTTAACTTAGGAACCACCACAGTAGTTACGTTGAACTACCATTGTTAGACTATGAGAAAATGGGAAAAGGAATTTGGGGTTTCATCCACTTCCCGTCATGTTTCAAGACTGATAGTCACATGTGTAAGTAAGAAAAGGAGAAGGTGGCTCTGTTTTCAAATAGATCGCTATAGTGCTGTCTCCAGCACACATCCTCATTAATGATAATGACATGCCTATCCTGTGGTCTGTGGACCACCAGGGCTCCAAGGACTATTTCTAAGAAATCTAAAAAATGTGATAAAACTTCCCCAAATCCACTGCCAATAAGCTTAAATTCAGCATTCAGGGTTCCAGTTTTTCCATAGGTGTCCATAGAAAGGTTGAAGTCTCTTACTAGAGGGGAAAGACAGCAATTAGCCACCATAGCATATCACCACGAAAAACAGGGTAAGTATTAGGTGAGGTGTTTCCAGTAGCGATAAAGAACAGTCCACCTGTTGTACAAGACACTGGTGAAACCTCATCTGTAAATCTAGGGATCATTTTAGTTACCTATTTTGACCACAGCATCAAAGAAAGGCAGGTGAGACCGGCAGCCTATTTTAGAAGAAGTTAAAACACCTCATTTATTTAGACATGCCAAACAAGGATTCTCTGTAATTATGTAAGGGACCAAATGTCAAGGAGGGAAGGCGACACAGGGAGAGAAACAAATGGCATAGACTAAGCAGATAAATCCAGCCTGCAACAAACAAACAACTGTCGCTCGTGCTACTGTGGAGGCTGATGGGTGTATGAAAGGGATCATATGAAATTGTGGCCTGCAGTGGCAGGATTTGGATTTCAACTTGGACTTGAAGACCTAGCAAGGCCCTAAGTAATTTTCTGACAGCGGTGAGACCAGGGCCTTTCCCATTATTTAAACGTCGCTTCTTTGCAATATTTTTGTCTTGCAGAGAAGTAGTTACTTTCAACCACTTCCTTGAAGAAGCAGCAGAAAAAGAAGTCCGGGGAAAAGCCAGGCTCCAGCACTTCATTGAGAACCTATTGCAGCGAGTGGACCTGGCAGAAAGGCAGCTAGAGTATTACCAAAATCAGCAGACTGTGTGCAACCACAATGACGTCAGCGAACATGTGGTAAGCCAGCAAAGTCCTCTCGTTAATTGTCTCCCACCACTGGAGGGAAAGTACTTGAATCTGAATGTGAGTAGGCCCAGTGGGACAGGCTAATTGCTCCTCCAGTCAGATTTGTATTTGTAAAATGTTTCTTTAGGCTTATGTTTTATTTATATTTTTAACTGCCACTTCACATATTTGTCATGCATCACACAGAGTGTGTGTTTAGTAATAAGTGAATTTCAAACAGTTTTGAGTGTCATTATAGAAACCTGAATAGTTCATATTCTCATACGAATTCTATTTGAAACTTAAAGCTCTAGTGTTCATTGTAATGGGCAGTGTGGAAAACAGTCTTCAGTTCTAGCCTGATGTAACCAAATCACAGGGTAATGAGCAAAGGCAGCAGGCAGATGAGAATTCGAACTTTGCACCCGTACACCTGAAGTAAGATACAGGTACATTGGCAACGTGTAGTCGTGTGGAAGAGGGTGTGGGAACAACATGTAGAACTCAGTTCATCCCGTCTTGACTCCAGACTTCATTTCCTTTTGAGCAAAGGAGCAGAGAGGAAAAGAGCAGAAATGGCCAAAGATGGGAGAAGGAAAATAGAGAATATTGAAATATTTGCCAGAATTTTTTCCTAGCTTTGGCTATGGCTGCTGGAAACACATTGCCTTTGGGTCACCAAGTTTCTATTGGCAGTTTTTTTGTAGATCCCTAAAAATTTTCAGCAGAAATGTGGATCCCTAAAGAGAATATGTAAGCCTGCTGGCAAATGGGCTGCCTTTCCCTAGTTATCTATTACAGGACTCCTAGAAGTAGTCCATGGATTTCCACAGGCCCACAGATTTGAAACCATTGCTGTCTAAACGTTGCTTTTTAAATAACATTATTTCTGTAGAAGCTCTCATTCTTACTACTTAAACTCAGTGTTTTCCCTACAAATGCATTACATTTATATGGCAAGTTTTATCCACGTAACTTCCAAAGAACATTTGAACTTAAAGGAATACTCCATACTGCCTCTACTAAGTAATTCCTCTTCCTTGGAGGTGAAGTGAAAGGCATTTGATCATGCACAGCACTAAAAAGCTATTTAATGGTAGAAGGTTCCTATAGCAACTTGGAAGATGAAGACTTTTAGGCAAGAACTGAGTAAACGTAGATGAGTCGAAATTTAGTATAGGTTCCCATCTCAAACAGTGTCTGTGAGAACAGTGAAGAGGACTATAAAGATGGGCCTCTATTAAATCTTCTTCCATACTCTTGATGTGTTTACTGGGATCCTTGGCTCAGCAAGGTCTCTTGCTAACTTTTGAGGCAGCTGCCCTGCTTTCTGAGTGACTTAAGCATTCCTCTGAGGTCATCTATCCAAATATTGACCAGCCTGACCTTGGCAAGGTAATCAGAGAAAAGCACACAATGGCTCCAGACTCCCATTCACGACAGATGACAAGCAAAGTTGGGTTGGGCAAAGGTACCAGGAACAGAGAGGACGTTTACTAGGAAATAATCACTTTCAAATGCCAGATCTGACATGCTCAGCTTGGTAACTTCACTAAATGATATTCAAAGTCTCAATCTAATTCTCAGCTACATAACGCTGATTGGGGATCAACAGAAGGAAGGTTGGGCGCTCCCCAACACATTTAGACGAAGCTGGTGTTAAATGCCTCCTTCCCTGACCTTGACTAACAGAGGGACTAGACAAAATTGCTCCTAAACTGTGAAGCATCCTGTCTTAATAAATGGAGTCACGCAAAGTTGCGCTGGCCGCAAGGCTGTGTCCCTAGCCAGTGTCGGGATTTGGAGCGAGAGCGAGGGAAGAGAGTTCTCATCCTCCATCGCTGCGTGCCGCTGCAGGCAGAGCCAAGCATTCAGAGCTGGAGTTTCTTAGCAGCTTGTGTAAAAGGAATGTATGACTGCCAAATGTAAGGTTCTGAGATAAAATTAATTTAATATAGTTTATTGAGGCACTATCCCTTATTAATGATCTTAAACATAATAATTACTTCTCATTGTATCTACACTGTTTAATCTAATGTGAAGGATCTTTGTTCAGCCCACACTTCTTCAGCAATTTACTCTGATTATAGTTACAATAAAAATAATGGGAAAAATCCAGTTACTAGCAATTTACATATTATGAGTTTAAAACCAGATGTAATAAGTTAGGGGAATAATAATCAGTGAAAAGTTTTTTTTAAGTTTTTCTTATTAATATTCTCCTAGTAGTAACAGCAGGTGAGAATGGAAATGTGAATCTGAAGATGGCATATATCTAGACTATTTTAACGCAAACAATTTCATCCCCATGCTTTAATTACTTGATAATTTAATATTAATATTAATAACATGTTTCTATTTTCTTTGCAGTTTACAGACATTTCATTACATAAGAAACCCAGATGCCTGTATGTATGTCTTTTCTTTTTTCTCATATTTAAAGATACTAAGTTAACATGATGCTTGCATTTCTGCTTTTGCTGTCTCAACCTGATCCTAAGGCCAGAATCAGGGTGGGTCTTGGATGAGGTTCTATACCAGCGTGTGATCTATATTTATTTGATGTAGTAGAGGAAACCAGATTTCTGCTGCATTAAAAATGAAATGTATTTTTTAAAGAAAAAAAAGGATACTTTTGTGTAAAATAGAGAACTCCTTCCTATGTAACCGTAAGAGCCTTTTGCAAAGCTGCAGTAATGGAATCTCCTCAGTAAATGCAGGCCAAGTTTCAAGTGAAAATATTTTGAACATTCTGTAGGTAGGAGAGAGACAGTTGTCATTTCCTGACTGACAGTAGCACGGTCAGCTTAAAAATCACATGCAAGCAAACAAGTGTCCTGACTTAAGTTTGGCATTAACAACATCTCAGGTTACTCGAGCAGCTGCTTTTTGAGCAGCAGAACTAAAAAGGCTGGTTTCCTGTGTATCCATCCGTGTCTTTGCCAGCGGCTGGTTTGGAGGCTGCTTGGCCGAGCACATTGTCTCTCACTGGGGACACTAGTTTGGGTCTTTCTCCCTCAGCTTCCAATTCCCACAAAACTGGAACTTCTGTATCCCTGTCAGATGTGTTTGTGTTTTCCCCGTGGGTTCAAGAATTACTGGAAGACTGAGAAACTCCTGTGCAGATGGATGGACTGGAAAATAGACTAAAAACACAACTTAGAGTCTACTGGGGGCTTGTTTGATTATTTTTTTTCCTTCTTCTTAGTCTTGGCAGGGAATGTGATTATGGCGAAGTACACTTTTGCCATAAGCATGTGCTTGAATTAATAATTAACATCACAGGGTCACAGGGGTTTGAACTTGGTTTATTTTTTTCTGTTTTTTGTTTCTGTAGCTCTTATAGCATTTTATTTTTTCTGCTGATTTGAGATTCTGAGAAAACTTGCTGGTCCAAAATGTAGACTTTGAGTTGGGAGCCTATCTAGTTTTCAGGCATCTAGAACCCCTGATTTGTTTGGAAACAAAGAAAATAGAAATGAAATATAAGTAGTGAACTTAATGACTCAGCGACACAAATCTTTCCACTGACAAGCCATTGGTCTAAATATAGCACAGTTTGGTAAAATCCATAAATTGCTGACAACTAGTGAGAGTTCAGAGGCATATATAACATTATTTAGATGGTTTTGTTTAACTACTGCTGAAGTTCTCCTTTGAAAAGACACTGTCAGAACTAGTATTAAGTAGTATCCTTGGATCCAGACCCATCAGATGTAAGATAACCCGACCTGTCCTACCAAGCAGGGAGGGTAGAGGTGAGGAAGCCCGAAGGGGAAGAAAAGCTTTTATTTTGCTCTGCCGGTTCTGTGGATGAGGGGGAAATCTCAACATCTACTACACAAGCTGTTTTTAAAAGCTCAAAAACAGCTAAGTACATAAAACCATTAAACCAGATTTTAATGATATGTATCAGCTAAACAACTGGGAGGCGTTACTACCTGTCTAGAAAATTCTCTGTAATCTCAGTTTTTTTTTGTGGTTTGCTACACGTTCCATATCTTGCTATAGGCTGAGAGAAACAACTGATGCGCAGGAAGAAGATCCTTGCTTGCTGCCACCCTGCTGGGGGAACGTCCCTGTCCTGTTGTGTCCACCAGGCTTCTGACTGCTCACAGCGTTTGGGATCAGTGCCTCAACTCACAGTCCCTCTTGCTCCAAGCCACTGCCTTGCTCTCCAATTCCTTTTCTCCAGTTTCTCCCCACTGTCTCCAGGAAGAGCCCTACTGAGGGCATGACAGACCTTTACTGATGCTCACTAGGCATTTTTCAAAGGCACTGAGACTTGTCTGCACGTCGGTGCCTGAATCAATCTTAAATGCCAGCTCCCATTCTTAAGTCAAGAATTAGGTCTCTCAAAAGCCTGAGACAGTCTTGAAAACTACCTGATGTTCATAAAATGTAGTAAGAATAGGGTTGTTCTTACGTGCCTTCAGGCAGTCGGGTGCAATGAGTCGCGTTTTTATAGTCTTTTTCCATGGTGCTGCAGATTAAGTATATACTTGAATATAAATTTATACTCTTGCAGTCACTTTTATCAAGAAGCTGCCACTTCTAATGAAACGACAATGGCCACATTGCATTTCAATACCATATATCCTCAGGAAACCTGCATTTTTGTTAGCCTTGACCTTCTTTTCTCATATTATGAGTTAGGGACCGAAGTCCAACTTCTCCACCAAAACATTTAATTTAAATATAGTTTAGCTCTTTTAGGCAACCCCCTCTGATCATCTTAACTTTAATCTGTTCTGGTTTTAATAGCATCTTTCAATGTCACAGTGGAGTGACTAACATCACCTGTTGCAATAAAAACTGCATGTGCATTGGGGATAAATTACACAATTTCTTCTCAATAGCAACATTTGAGAAAAACAGAGCACTACATGCCTCAACGACAAATAAGTAATAGACCTTAGCAAACTGTGGCTAAGAAGTGATTGTACTTCAGAGTGGTCAAAATCTGTACCTCTGCAGGTAATTTCTAAACCCTGGCAAGAGCCCAGGCCTGAGCCATGCCAGCATTGCACAGCACCTATCAACTCCAGCTTGGATCTGCACAGCTCTTTTCCCCAGAAACTTCTCCACAGTGAAGTCTGGTTGGCAAAGCTGCCAACAATTACAGAAGCTTTCACGACACCCTTCTGGTCTTTTAAAGAGCAGGTTTCAAGTTAGGCCACGTTTGGAGGAAAAGGATTACGGGAAGGGGGAACACATTCGGATGGTACTCTTCTTGCTATTTCTGACCCCAGTGGAAGGTCTTTGCTCAAATATATGAGGAGGAGAATGCTCAGAGCCAGGACAGTAGCAGGTTGTTTTAAAATAGGACGATATCGGTGGCTGTTGTTCTAAACGAGGAGCTCTCACATAATGGGAACAGCCTGTAGGATGGCACTGGGGAGACTAGAAAGTGCAGCTGCAGATCCTGAGGGGAGAGGGCTTGAGCTGCGTGCACTTAAAACAGCTGCAGCTTCTTTCCAAAGCTGGCTCTGTCAAGTGTGCACTACTGTTTAACTCCCAAGACAAGTAATACTACAGATACATGGTTTCCAGAAACAACGAGCTATGGAAAATAGCCTTATGGGAACTCTTAACAGATCAACTTGTACATCAGCACATCTGTTCTTCACTACAATCATGATAGCTGGGTATTCATGAGCTGGTGCCTTAGATTCACAGTGCTGCTATTTTATGCTGTAAAACATTTCAAGACGATGTTGAAAGGGAACTGTAAAGTTCTTATTTAGATAAACTGTGGAACTGCAGTTTCAACATAAAATTTCAGAGCAGAAGGCATGGTTCACAGCACCAGGTGCTGTGCTGTAACTCCACTTAAGTTCACCGATTTTAGCAGCTCTCATCAGGTACAAACCATTGCAGAGAATTCAGCTTAGTTTGGGCCTGAAGCTTTTATAGCCCCCTCCACACCAATTCCTGTACTCTCCTTTCCTCTTCTCATGTTTCAAATCAAGCCCTAAAGCAAAAGCTAAAGTTTCCTGGCCGAGTTTCCAGAGCTATTGGCCGACCAGTGAGTAGCATCAAGCACGGGGGCTTGGCAGTGCTGTAACAACCCAGGACAGCGCTGAGATCCCAACAAGGAGATCCCTCCCAAGAAGTCACCACCGTTGCAGCACCCACGTTCTAGTGCTGCTGATGCCGTGCTGTGTTTTAAAGACATAGGGATGTTCATTCTTTGCACAAGGTTGCTGTGAATATGTGTATCTTTAAAATTCCTTGAGCTCATCAAGCTAAGAGGATATAGACCTCAGCAAGGTGACAGCACTCCCCAATCATCAGAATCTTACCCTGAATGAAAGCAGAGAAGACCATGCATGGAGAAGGTCCACCAGTAACACATGTAGGGGTTCTTTTAGTGAAGGGTGCTTTTGAGTATTGAGAAACTTATTTTATCTTGCTATTCTCAGTTTTTACCTTTCAACCTGGTTCTATTAAAAAAAAAGGCTATTTCTGTCTTCAAAAATCTATGGGTTTGGGACATTTGGGGCATCTTTCACTCTTCAAGATAGAATAATAATTACTAATAATCATTATTATTAATTTCAGGAGCCGAGGAAGTCAACACACTTCATATAACATCCCTGACACAAAGCCTCACTCCTTTCAAAAAGGAAGAATCTTGCTGAAAAAAGTAAAGGATGAAAAAAACAGCATGCAGCCAGTCAAATACTTCTATGAACCTGTTGATTGCCCAAGAGAACTGTGGAGACCACAAAAGAAAGGTGAACCAGTCTGCTCTGCCAGAAAGGTGAATGCAAAATCTAAGATGGGTAAAAAGGCCAAACCACTATAGGAATGGTTAATAATATATATAGTAACACAGGAGCTTGGCTTCAACAGAACAAATATTGTTTGAAGTTAATCATCCTATTTTTTCTTACCCATCTGGCCATGCCAAAACATATCAAATATAATATATAGAAATATATACAGTATGGAATATTTATATATAATTTAGAAATGCCGTTCCCACTTCGGGCACTAGAAGAGAAGTGACATTGTATTCATTGAGGTTTTTCTATCTATTTATTTATTTATAGAGCTTATTTTAAATGACTGCAGTTACCTTGCTGGGCAGTACTGTGGCTGTATGTTGTATTATTTTAGTGGCAGCATGTGGCTTGGTTACTTATTTTCAATCTGTGCTGTTGCTGAAGTTCAGAAGAATCCATTTAATCGGCACCCAACTATTCAGTCTTTGTGCTTTGGTAGGTATACGGTCAATGATTAACTGTCACATGTGCAAACATACTTAGATGCAAAAAGTCCACTTGAGTTGACTTGAAGGCTGTTTATAGCAATAGACTGCTACTCTGATTTTTCTGCTATAAGCCTAATTGGGCACATTTCGACACTTTCTTACGTGTATTAAACAGCTCGATCTTGCCAACAGCCACATTCTCTGTTAGTACAAGTTCAAGCTGCTTCGGTGTTTCAAGCACAGCTGTCACACTCCAGAAGCTCTATGTTTTTGCTGTCGGTACCAGCCTCTGGTGTCACTGAGCACTGAGAGCAGAACCTGGTACCTCAGCCCCCACCAGCACTTTGAAGCAGAGGAGTCATTTTTTTACCAAGCCGCAGCAGCAGGTTTTTAACAGCTGCAGAGCAGCAAGTGAAGGGGTAAAATAACATGTTCAACACCTGTATTTGCTTTAAGGCATGAGAGGCCTACATTGGCTACAATCATAACCTAAACTCATTGAATTTTTATCCCTATGAAGAATCCTTACAGGGTTGAGAGACCCTTGGACTTCAATAGAAACCCCAAGAGTAAGAGAGTTAAAGATTACAGGACAGGAATTTTTCGCTGGCGTGCATGTGTTTACATTGGTTTGTGCCAAGTAAAAGGATCCTCATTCATCAGAATGTTTATCAAGGTAATTTTTCTGTGCGTACTGTTTTTTGGTAACATGAATCCTCATGCCATGTTTACAAATATGAACATCCTGTTGATGTTACCGATGAGATTAGTTTTCTCAAGAAACAGAAAGAATAAGTGAAACAAGTCTGTGTAATTTATTTTTTAAATGCTCATAACAGATGTAAATTGTTTTTGTGGAAGGTGATTTTTACAGTATGTGTATAAAGATTTGTGAAAAATGTTTTTCACTTTTTATAATTATCACTGTAAGCAGCACTGAGTATTAAAAGACAGTGTATCACTATGATTACTGCTGCAATAAGCACCTGAGCTGCAATATTTTTAAAGCAGATGATGACCAATCAGTCGGCTAAGATCAGGTAATTACAAATGTCATATATTTGTCAATGTATCGAGCCCCCAGGAAGTAGCAGAGCAAAGAATGAAAGTACTATTCCTGACTTTTATTTTAAATAGTGTATATGGAACAATCGCATACGTATGCAAAGTTTCTCAACACTGTTTCAAGAGAAGGTCACAGTGTAAAGCCGATTCAGGTATGTAGGTTGTAATTACATTTTAATATTTGTTTAGCTATCTCACACGGCCACGTTCGGCCTTATGCTGGGCATTACGTGCTGGTGAAAAGGATTTGTTAATTGTGTTGCATGTTTTTTCATCAGATAGTCTTATGAGAACTTTCTTAGGCAAGCCACATACTGTAAACATTCTTCAATTTTTTCTGTTGTTTCCCTCATCTTTTTAAAAAAATGAAAAGTGACCCCTTTTGAAGATAATATTGATGATCTTTAGAAAGAAAGGAAGTAAAATACATTTATCTGTTCCATTATTCACTTGACACTGAAAGGATTCTTTTTTATTTTTGAATACCTGTCTGCTCTGTTAGTCACCAAAGTTAAGCGCAACTATTTCACGAATAAGATATTTATTTTGTTATTTATCATGTCAAAATGTTGACTGTAGGTTGTCCTTTTGGGGAGGAAGAGAAAAAGAGAATAAAAGATGTTGCATGTTCTTTAACTTTTCAGATCCTAAGCTACAGTTACTTGCTGAACAAATGCCAGGTTAGTTAATTACAAAGAAATTGGATTGTACTGTAAACCCCAGATAAACATTTTTAGAATATAAACATTCTAATAATAAAGATATATTTCTCAGTTACTGTGTTGATTAGCTCTGTGAAAATACAACACTTCTTACAAAAGCCTACCCAATGACAGAGAAGAAGAACAGCAGTACACAAGAAATCATAGCCCCACTAGGACTCGTGTTCATTCTTCAGATAAAATGGTGGTTTATACAAACTGCTCTGATAAAGTTGGGCCTTGATCTTTCAAAGTACTGCAATCTGAAACACAGCTACAGCGTCTTGCCCACATAGCTTGCACCTCACGCCCCCTTCCCCTCTCTTATCGTTATAACGCTTGAAAATAATTCCTAATCCCCCACGGCCAGATAATTTGCACAAATCAGAGGCAAAGGTGGTGAAAAAGAGTCAAGCAAAGAGAAGTTAAGGGCAGAGGAGCTATTGTAGAGCTCAAAGATAAATTTCCCCTCACATTGCCAGTTGGTCAAATCATCATTTCATCACATACTTCCCTGGTTATACATGGAAAGAGAGCTTTTCGCCGGGGGAAGACCAGGTTCTTGTGGAGAAGATAACCCATGGGAGAAGTGGTGTAGTAGAGCGGAAGAGGACATGAGGGCCCTCTAACAAACACCTTGGAGTCTGAATAATATTCATCAGGAAAACGGCTCCTTCACAGTCATGTTGACACAATTTACTAGACCATTTTTAAAGTGAATGTCTGGTCATCAACAGGTTAACTTGCCTGCTGCAAGGCATGTATCACATCTACCCTTCACACCCCATTAACAGAGATGGAACACTAAAATAAGAAAAATCTGCACACTTACTAAACTGAACGTAACTGCTTTTAGCTTGGGGGGGGACTTCAGGAGGAGATTATAACGGAGTAGGAAAACGTCTATTTTAAAATATTTTCAAATCTAAAATAGAAGTTAAATGATCTGAAATTGTTCAGACAAAGTTGACCCCTAATCTTTGAATCTGAAGCCCAGTTAGCACATCTTGCCCTATGAGGTGCTTTGAAGACATCTAGGTGGGCTGTATGTTCACATCAAAGTGAAGTTCAGTAGGACCTGGATGCCTAGCTCCCATACACTTTTAAAATCACATCTTGTCTACAACTGAAAAAAACTTAGAGCAGCATGTATACTGGCTGGGTCCTTATGGGTGAACTTGCTGCTTAAGACAAAATGTTCTGACTGATATGTAACATTATAAGGGAGGAAAACAAGAGACTTGGCTGAAACCTAGACAGACCTTTAATTATAGGTGTACACTGAAGAACCAGAATAATTCTGAGATGTTCATGCCAGTTGAAGAGAGAGTGTGTTTTTAAAGCGCTTAATGCCATCTGACCTCCTCTCTGCATCAGCAGTACAAACACACTCTCCTCCTGCCAGAGGCGATCCAAACACGTTTATTTTGTTTCCAGGAGAGTTACTGGAAATATTCAACTGGGTATTTGTACTCAAAGGGATGGCCACCAAAAAGAGCAATTACTAGGTCAAACAAATTACCACTTCTATCATCCCTAATAATCTCTTCCAATGCTACCAGCTCTTTCAATCTACTTGAGCCAAATTCTGCTATTCTCTCCCTTTATTCTGCGTCACCAAATAGTTGCTTCTGTTTGTTCTTACATCAGACTAATGCTGATTATTTCCATACATCCTGTCTGAAGTGGTTGGAGTGGATTATTTTAGTGCTCTGTGCAGTAGGCATAGGCTTTTTTTTTTTTTTAAGAAAAAATAAACCCACAAGTGATTTTATGACATGAAACATACAATAAGCTCTTAAAAATAGATCTTGTGATACGAACAAAATGTTCATTCCCGTTTTGTTGCTAATGCCACCCTCTATCTAGCCTTTTTTTTTTTTTTATTCTGATCTCTCGAATTTTCATTCGTATGTCTCTCCAAGAGGGAGTAACAAGCAGCGTAGGTTAAACAGAGTCATTGGTTTGATAAGCCTTTTCCTTCCCCCCACTGTCTCCATTCTGGCCATGCATTCCACAGACAGGTAAAAGCTGGCTTGAATTTTTCATAAAAAGGTGGAAAAAAAAGATACAAGAGATTTCACATTCATTATAACGTTAAGGAAACGGTAGAGCTCTTCTGAGGTGAGAGAGATCAGCGCTCAGCTTGCGTGAGAAGTGCTTGCAGAGCTCGGAGCGACAGGCACAGAACAATTTACGCTGGTGTGAGACCAGAACGGCTCCAAGGTACGCAGAAAGCAGCAGTGAAAGCGGAGGGGTCTCGTTACTGCGTGTTGTTTCTTAGAATTGTTGATCTACAGCATTGCAGAATATCTCCAAATTGACACATTCATTCCCTAAATCACTGTTTAGAAAAGTGTTTTGAAGCCTAATGACTGATTTCACAGTAACGTGGAATTAGCATGTCCTTTAGGACCAGGACTTCCAAGAAATTCCCCAAACTCTGTCCACAATATTTGTCCAAACTGCAGTGTATTGGCTTAAAATGAGTAATTGTGCTAAGGGGGCTTTTCAGCAGACCGAGGCGGGGGATTTCTGTGCCAGCACGGTGCTTGCTGGCCCGCGGTCTGCTGAGCGCTGCAGCGTGGCTCAGGCTGCCTGCGGGCCTCTAGCCCAGGCTCACCAACATTGGTTACCACAGCCATGGCTTTCTTTACATTATTTTGCTGTTTTTTTTTTTTTTTTTTAAGAATTCCCTTTGGTCTTCCTGTGTAGGATCCCGGAAAGGCAAATGCCATCCTTTCTGCTCGAGTTTTACCTGGCTGTGTCCCACCTCGGGCGCTACGTGGCCTGTCTCAGGCAGGGGAATTTGTGCATCCCGACCATTTGGCACCCACGCACAGACCCTGAGCTGCACCTTGAAAGAGACTGTCACTGCTTCCAGCTGCTACCTCCATACACGACTACGTGTGCACAGGGCCAGCTCAGGCACACCATGCCCATCATGGCTCATGCTACTGGGTCTAACAAAGGCCTTTCAAAGCAGGATTTTTACCTCTTAGCTCCTTCCTTTCAGGACAGGTATCTTCCAAGCTTATTTACTTAAAACATATCAGATGCTTTGATAAGCCAAGAGCCCTCTACAACATGCATCCCAGTGAATTCATGTCCTTAATACTTTCCCAGCTTGCTCCAAAACGTTCTTTCTGCCAACTCAGTATCTTCAAAAACTTCTCATGCAGCAAGCACCTTTCCTGTATTTCAGCCGACTAGCAACACTCACTACATACGATCAGATCACTTAAAAAATGTTTTCCTTGGCTGTCAGCAATTACTGCACTTACCTGTAAGACCACAGATTACTGAGCTTATTTACCTACACCATGGCAAAGCTCAGCCTATATAACTCTAGCTATTTAAAAGCCGTTTAGCCCTCCATAGTTGGACATGGAGAGACCGATGGCCCCCAAGGGGAATCCATCCCTTCGGTCCTACATGAATACACGAATTTTAAGGCAGTCTGAGTCACCCTCTGTGCCTCCCTCCACTGACTACAGAAAGCCTGAATGACAAGCTCAAGCTAGACACCTAGTAGAAATTAGGTGGGACTGGCCCTATTCAAAAATACCGTCAGAGTCAAGCTGCTATTTACAAAGGAGGAGCTGCCACTCACAAACTACTTGAAAATCCTTTAAAAATGATATCAAAAGACAGGACGCAGCATAATCTCCCAGCAAAGAAAGGCCAGCAAACGGCGGGCAAGGCTCCCAGGCAGGGCAGCAGCTGCAGGGGACCGCAGCGCCGGCCCGCAGGCAGGCTCGGTCCTGCCCTCAGACGAGCCCCGGGGCAACTTCAGGGACACAGCAGCAATGCGTGCAGCCCACGTGGTGGCGGGCACTGCACACTGGCTTCTTCCACAGTCAAAACACTGACATCCCCTTTCTCCACAGGTGTTAATTATGTGTACAGATACTTCCACGTCAGCCCAAGGAGGGCCACACAACAGTGTTGCGTTTAGATTAAATGTGAGTTTAGGCCATACAGGCAAATGGTGTCACGTGTATATACAGCTACGCACAGCCTCAAAGGTCCTGACCTTGTGGTACGCAGACAGGTGGTCAGCCAGGTACCCGAAGATAATGCAAAGCCTGGCACGCAGGCTGAACCTCCAATTAAAAGGCCCCCGTGCTTTAAATGTGCAGCGTTGGTGCTCTGACTAAGAAATAAATTTCTACCTCACAACAATTTTACACATTTAGGAGGGAAAGCCATGTAAGGTAGTTCCACATGAGATTTTATGTTAGGAGGGGAATAAGAGCTGTTCAGCAGCTTCTCTGGTCACCTTGGGCTTTCCCAAAGCGCTGGATGCGAGGCCCTGGCCGAGCTGACTGCTCTCTGGCTGCAGCCCACCTCACGCGAGCCAGCCGCCCGGTTTTTCCCAGGGATACAGCAGCCTGTCTTTTCTATCAGCTTCATACTGCCCCAGGTTTCAAGCCTGCCTGTTGTAATTCTTTCTTCCCAATCCCATTTGGAAATGGTTGGTGGACCAAGAAGAACAGGTAGGAGGTGTTTGCTTCTTAGAAGACACCACCACACCTGCAGTCCATTACCCCGCAACAGGAGAATGAGAAAGTAGCCTTGGCTGCACTTCCTAGTCTTTGGAAATACTTTCATGAGAATATTATGAATATACATGTACTTCTGTGATGCACAGCTATGGCAGGCATTGCAGACCTTCACTCCTGAGGGAATTCTGAACTTTGCACTTGCAGAAAACAGCAGTCTCAGAATATATGTTTTAATTTTTCCTTATGGGGAAGAAAAAGCAGCCAGCAAATCTGACATGTTTTGTCATGGACCATCATCACCCAAAATCCATGGAGCTCCTGCTAAGAAACTAGCAGAACAGGGTATCATGAATTGTTCCTGTGCCAAGCTGCTTGGCCCACCAACTGCCCTGAGATCCAGAGCGTAGAGGTGACCCTCCTCAAAATAATGACATGCTTTAACTATCCTACTCACCAAGGCTGTGCGCTACCACCTGTTTACCAGGAGCACGTGCGAGGCACTGGCTTTGCGCTCAGCCAGGGTATTGCTCGGTGCGGCGTCAGGCAGCATCTACTGCCTGGCTG